AATTCTGCAGAAGGAGCTAGACCCATAAGAGCAGTGTTTCTCAACCTTCCTGATGCCGCAACCCCTTAATACAGTTCCTCATGTTGTGGTGACCTCAACCATAAAATTATTTTCGTTGCTACTTCATAATTGTAATTTTGCTACTGTTATGAATAGTAATGTAAATATTTATTATGTAGGATGTATTTTCGTTCACTTGACAAAATTTGGCACAAATACCCGATATACCCAAATTTGAAAGTGGGGGGGGGGGGGCATAATAGGTATTTGTGGGGGGGGGGGGCATAATAGGTATTTGTGGGGGGGGGGGGTTGATTTTGTCATTTGGGAGTTGTAGTTGCTGGAATTTATAGTTAACCTACAATCAAAAAGCATTCTGAATTCCACCAACAATACTTTTGAACCAAACTTGGCACACATAACTCCCATGACCAACAGGAAATATTGGTAGGGTTTAGGGGGCATTGACCTTGAGTTTTGGAGTTGTAGTTCACCTACATCCAGAGAACACTGTGGACTCAAGTAATGATGGATCTGGACCAAAGTTGGCACGAATACTCAATATGCCCAAACGTGAACACTGATGGGAGTTTGGGGAAAATAGACCTAGACATTTGGGAGTTGTAGTTGCTGGGATGTGTAGTTCATCGACAATCAAAGAGCATTCTGAACCCCACCAATGATAGAATTGGGCCAAACTTCCCACACAGAACCCCCATGACCAACAGAAAATACTGAGTTTCCTGATAATCTTTGGCAACCCCTCTACCACCCCCTCTCGTGACCCCCCCCCCCCCGGGGTCCTGAACACCAGGTTGAGAAACGCTGCATAAGTGGTTGACCTCAGGCTGTAAACAAGGCTTTGATCTGGGGTAATATAATTTAATTTAGAGTTCTAATATATGTTCTGGACACTTATCTAACCCTTAATTTTGTCTGATGGAAAGAAAAATATAAGCATCTCCCCTGTGAGTATTTGGGAGGATAGAGACGTCATCACAAACTCACAACTTGAGGTTCTCTTCCATCTGCCTCCCCAATACTAGGCTCAATACTATGATTTGCATTAAAAAGTCAACAGAAAACCTTCCCTTTTGAAAGCTTTGGGGCTGTGCTCAAGAAGTTAGGGACAACGGGTGTGTTTGCCACATTTTAGTACTGATGTGGTGAAAGTGATCCCACGTCTGGATTTTTTAGTAGTCTTTCAGCATGGGGAAGGAGACTTGAGATTGTTCCAACAGACATGAAAGCTGTGACTCACCATTTCCTGGCTAAAACCATATTATGGTTCTCTGGGTCTGACCTTTGTGATTCCAAGCCTTGGTTCCCTGTTTTTTTGTTGTGTTTTTTTTCATGTCAGGAACAACGTAAGAAACTGCAAGTTGCTTCTGGTGTGAGAGAATTGGCCGTTTGCAAGGACGTTGCCCAGGCGATGCCTGGATGTTTTGATGTTTTACCATCCTTGTGGGAAGCTTCTCTTATGTCCCCGCATGGGGAGTCAGAGCTGACAGAGGGAGCTCATCCGCGCTCTCCTCGGATTCGAACCTGTGACCTGTCGGTCTTTTGTCCTGCCAGCATAAGGGTTTAACCCACTGTGCCACTGGGGGGGCTCTGGTTCCCTGGGTGATATTGAACGTCAACTTCCGGAAGCCCTACATAATTTAGCAATAGTGAGGGATCCTGTAGTACTAAAGTATTTGGGTGCCACATATGGGAACCACAGTTGGAAATAACTTAGACATGTAATATAGCATTTATCTTTCAAGTCAGCATGCCAATTTACCAACTTTTTGTATATTTTGTATTACTCTACAAAGGATACAAAAAGTTGGTATGTTGGCATGGTACATTGGACCATGGTTGTGTGAAGCAGCTTGGATAGAGGTCTCATTTTTTGATGAGTTATTATATCTGGAACTTTCCTGGCATATGCTTTTTATTTGACCTAATGTTTCCCATGGAAACAATTAAGATGAAGAGGCAAACTTCCAGTTCTATGGAAAGGCAATCAGCAATTTCTTCCCAAACGTTATAGCACACTTGTTGATGTGTGCCTTCAAGCCATTCCCAGATTCACACAGTGGTTTCCAAACTTTGTTCCTCCAGGTGTTTTGGACTCTGACTCCCAGAATAATAATAATAAATAATAAACTTTATTTATATCTCACCACCACCTCCTTGAAGGGACTCGGGGCAGCTTATAAAGGCACTTCAGTGTGGATATATAACACACAACTAATAAAAAATGGTATGTAAGTACAAATCAAGTCACATCAAATTATAACAGCTCGCCTAGCAGTCAGGAGTTCTGGGAGCTGAAGTTGTAAACATCTGTAGGACCAAGGTTTGGGGACTACTAACTTATGGTGACACTGCAGGCCTGCAAAACCTGTGGCCCTCCAGGTGTTTTGGACTTTGGCTCCCAGAATTTCTGACCATTGGACAAGCTGGCTATTGCTTCTGCAAGCTGGAGTCCCAAACACCTGCAGAGCCACAGGTTGTGCAGACCTGCACTAAGGGTTTTCTTGGAAAGATTTATTCAGAGTGGGGTTGCCTTTGCCTTCCAACCTGGGGATACATTAATCATGCATTGTCAAAGGCTTTCATTGTTTTTGAGTTTTTCTATTATTTTAATCCATTGGTACGCTGGCTAACCCACTTGTAATTTATGGCTTCTATGATACATCTTAAATGAATATTTTGATGCTGGTCATTGACCATAATAAAAAATAGATATATATTAAATGAATACTGGTGTTAGCCATTTTAAAACCATTTTAATGTAATTCTATCACAATTACTTTTAGGGTATATGTTGTAATGTTTTACTCATGTTTTAGTTTATTATGTCTTATTGGATTGTTTTTTATTATTATTTTCATCTGAATGCTAAATTCTTTGTTATAAGTTTACTGTTGTTTCTGTGCATTATCTTGTATTATTTTGATGTTTTTGCATTCATTTGAGGCATTGAAAGTTTGCCTTTTTGTCTTGTGTCTGTAAACCACCCTGAGTCCCTTTGGGGAGAGAGGGCAGTCTAGAAATAAAGTTTTATATTATTATTATTATTATTATTATTATTATTATTATTATTGTGTTATTGGCACTGAATGTTTGCTTCTCATATTGAAAACTGCCCTGAGTCCCCCAGGAGAGATAGGGCGAGTTATAAATGAAGTATTACTATTATTACATTACATTATTGTTATTGTTATTATTATTATTACTACTATTATAAATTATTATGGAGCCCCCGGTGGCGCAGTGGGTTCAACCACTGAGCTAAACTTGTTGACCGAAAGGTCACAGGTTCGAATCGGGGGAGTAGCGTGAGCTTCTGCTGTCAGCCCCAACTTCTGTCAACTTAGCAGTTTGAAAACATGCAAATGTGAGTAGATCAATAGGTACTGCTACGGCTGGAAGGTAATGGTTCTCCGTGCAGTGATGCTGGCCACATGACCTTGGAGGTGTCTATGGATAACACCAGCTCTTCAGCTTAGAAATGGAGATGAGCACCTCCCCCCCAGAGTTGGACACAACAGGACTTAATGTCAGGGGGAAATCTTTACCTTTTACCTTATATTATTATTATTATTATTATTATTATTATTATTATTATTATTTTACAGCTGGGGTGTTGAGTGGTTTTCAGGCTGTATGGCCGTGTTCTAGCAGCGTTTTCTCCTGATATTTTGCCTGCATCTGCTTCTGGAATCCTCAGAGGATGATGCCAGCCACAGATGAAGGTGAAACATCAGGAGTTGCCCCTGGCTGAGAACAGCGGTATATAAGCAAAGTAAATAAATATATAAGCAAAGTAAAGGAGAAAATGCTGCTAGAACATGGCCATACAGCCTGGAAACCACTCAACACCGGGGTTAATCACGCAATTCTCCACATTATGTTGGACCCCAAGTCCCAACAGGCCTAGCCAGAAGAGGCAATGGTGAGGTATGTGGGAGTTGAAGTCCCAGCAACATCTGGAGTTCCATACAGTTCCCATCTCAGGCTACATCATCAAGGTAAACTGAAGGCCCCTTCCACACAGCTGAATAGCTTTGAGCTGGAATAGCTTTGAGCTGGAATATATGGCAATGTGGACTCAGATAACCCAGTTCAATGCAGATATTGTGGGATTTTCTGCCTTGATATTCTGGGTTATATGGCTGCGCGAAAGAGTCCTGAGTAGATGTACCACAGGGGCCCTTCCACACAGCCCTATAACCCAGAATATCAAGGCAGAAAACCCCACATTATCTGAGTGTGGACTCAGATAACCCAGTTCAAAGCAGATATTGTGGGATTTTGTGCCTTGATATTCTGGGATATAGGGCTGTGTGGAAGGGCCCTTGGGTTGCACTGTACCTCACCGGCCGTCTTGGTGATAACAGAACTTTGGTTTCATTCTTGACCTGACAAACAGGAACAACTGCAGCACAGGGTTGGATTTCAACCCCAAGCGTGGAGCCTGGGAAACATCTGCACCTGTCTTGAAGACCCAAAAGAGCCATTCTTCAGTGGGTCCCTCTTTCCAGTTCATCTGCCAACCTAACTCAACCCCAGAGGCGCAGCTTGGGACTCAGGGTCCTTCCCCACAGCCCTATATCCCAGAATATCAAGGTAGAAATCCCACATGATCTGAGTGTAGACTCAGATAACCCAGTTCAAAGCAGATAGTGTGGGATTTTCTGCCTTGCTATTCTGGCTGTGTGGATGGGCCCTCAAGTCAAGGTGCGTAGGAGGCCTTGATCCCCAGCTTCCCGATTTTATCCTTAAGCCAATGTTTGCAACCATTCCAAATGCAGGTCCCCGGGACCAACCCGTCCTGTTGGGCAATCCCTGGCAGGGCATTTCCTCAAGCAATGGGCGCATTGGCACGCTGAAGTCGGCACAACTTCTCCAGGCTTAGAGATGAAAGAAGACCCAAGCCCACACAAAATGCCACTTGGTCGGCTTCCTCCCGGACCCCCCCCCCAAGACAAAAGAGCAGACTGACTTACTGCAATGGCTTGCAGCCTTTCCTTGTGCAGTTCAGCCTCCGCCATCCTGGGAGAAGGAAGAAAGAAGGATGCTGCAAAGAGGACTCCGCCGGGCGGGGAAGGGAGGAAGGAAGGGAAGAGGAAAAGAAGGGGCTGCAGCCCAGCAGGCCAGGAGAAGCTAGCCGCTCAGTCCTCGCCAAGGAGAGGAGAGTTAGGATCCCCCAAAATGCGACCAAAAGCGAGCCGAGGCAGCCAGGGAGAAAAGGCAGGCTCAAGGCTCATTTGCGCCGCGGGCACTGGACGGGTGCCCAATGCATCCTCCTGCCTTCCAGCTGCAGGGCTGCGTGCCTTCCTTGCTGCGCCCCGGCGCTCCTGGTGCCAGCCCAGCCATCCATAGGCGCTCTCCTCCTCCTCCTCCTCCTCCTCCTCCTCCTCCTCCCAGGGAATGGCTCGCCTGGCCGCAAGCCTTGGGTCTCTGCCTGCCTCTCTCGGCGTGTGTGTGTGTGTGTGTGTGTGTGCCTTGACGTCTAGCCGCGTGCACGCTCCTCCTCTCCTCTCCAAGTGCCCGGTCATCCACACACATCCACATCCAAGGAGGATGGGCATCAGCCTCTGGCCAGAGGAATGCCAAGCGGCAGGGCGAAGGTGCCGCAAAGCACAGAGATCAGGGAGACTGCAATCCTTTCTTCAGAAGTACAACAACGATATAATATATCATCAAGTTTGCAGACGACACTGTTGCATGAAACCCCCTGGGCAAAATTATTATTTGTTCCCTTCATGTCTGCAGCAGAGAGTTCCAAAGGCGGCAGACACTTAAAGCCTACTTCTTTGGCTCTGCGCACAGGCCTGTAGCGAGGGGGTGGTTTTAGGGGTTCAACCCCCCCCCCCCGAAATGTTTCAGATTTTTTTAAAAAAAACCTGGTTTACTCATGAATTTTAACTGGTTAACCAAATCCCCATGCTAAGTCTATGAGATGCAAAAAATTAAGAGTCCCTCCAGAACTGCAAGCACTATCTCAAGCAAATATTGACAATTTATTCACACTGTCATTACTTGCAGCAAGAGCCGATGTAGTGAAGCAACCAAGTTGGGGTGTGTGTGTTGAATGCTCTCATTAAGGAGGCCAGACTTGGTGGAGGTGGTTGACAGGGGTGGAGCTGCAGGCTATTGCTGTGCTCTTTGCTTCAGCGTGAGCTAGGAGGCAAGTTTCAACCCCCCCCCCCAAATTTTCAACCCTCCCCAAAATTTTAACCCCCCCGAAATTTTCAACCCCCCCCCGAAATTGTCAACCCTCCCCGAATTTTTTTTCTGGCTACGGCCCTGTCTGCGCATGTTCAGACAATCAGGAAGCTAGCTACAGACTGCCTAGGATCCCTAAATACAGCGTTTCTCAACCTGGGGGTCAGGACCCCTGGAGGCAGGCCTGTAGCGAGGAGGGGGGGGGTTAGGGGTTCAACCCCCCCCGAAATGTTTCAGTTTTTTTTAAAAAAACCTGTTTACTCATGAATTTTAACTGGTTAACCAAATCCCCATGCTAAGTCTATGAGATGCAAAAAATTAAGAGTCCCTCCAGAACTACAAGCACTATCTCAAGCAAATATTTATGTATTTATTTATTTATTATTCGAACTTATATGCCGCCACTCCCCTGGGGCTCGGAGCGGCTTACAAGAACAGGCTAAAATCGAACACAATTTAAAAACAATTTAAAACAATTTAAAAACAGCAATATCAGAGATCAAAGGCCCATCAAAACAGATATGTCTTACATGCCCTGAGGAAAGCTGATAAGTCCCGCAAGGCACGGACTTCAGGTGGCAGAGTATTCCAGAGTGATGGTGCCACTGCTGTAAAGGCTTTGCATCTGGTTGCTGTTAGATGCAAGGTCTTGACACTGGGAATTTCCAATAGATCTTGGTCCTCAGAACGGAGGGATCTCTGGGGTTGGTAGGGTGAGGCGGTCCCTCAGGTACATCGGCCCCAGACCATGCAAGGCCTTAAATATTGACAATTTATTCACACTGTCATTACTTGCAGCAATAGCCGATGTAGCAAAGCAACCAAGTTGGGGGTGTGTGTGTTGAATGCTCTCATTAAGGAGGCCAGACTTGGTGGAGGTGGTTGACAGGGGTGGAGCTGCAGGCTATTGAAGGCTGCTCTGCCCCCTGCTGTGCTCTTTGCTTCAGCGTGAGCTAAAAGGCAGGTTTCACCCCCCCCCGCAAAATTTTCAACCCCCCCCTGAAAATTTCAACCCTTCCCGAAATTTTTTCTGGCTACGGCCCTGCCTGGAGGGGTCGTGAGGGGGTGTCAGAGGGGTCGTCAAGGACCATCAGAAAGCACAGTGTTTTCTGTGTGGGAAGTTTGGTCCAATTCTATCGTTGGTGGAGTTCAGAATGCTCTTTAATTGTAGGTGAACTCAGAGGCGGCCTTAGGTAATTTTCAACGGTAAGCAAACAGTATTTTGGCACCCACCCCCCCTCCAATCACTGATATATATATTTTCTGTTCGTCATGGGAGTTCTATGTGCCACATATGGTTCAATTCCATCATTGGTGGAATTCAGAATGCTCTTTGATTGTAGGTGAACTATACATCCCAGTAACTACAGCTCGCATATGTCAAGATCTATTTTCCCCCAAGAGCGCCTCAAGAGTGCCCCTGGGAAAAATCAACTATACTGCAAATGCTTACTTTGCATAATGGGTTGAGCCGCCCCTGGTTGGACTACATCTTACTGCAAATGCTTACTTTGCGTAATGGGTTGAGGCACCCCTGGGTGAACTATAAATTTCAGCAACTACAACTCCCAAATGTTAAAGTCTATTTTTCCCAAAGTCCACCAGTGTTCACATATAGGCATATTGAGTATTCGTGCCAGGTTTGGTTGAGATCCATCACTGTCTGGGTTCACAGCGCTCTCTGGATGTAAGTGAACGACAACTCTCAATGTCCACCAAATCCTTCCAGTATTTTCCATTGGTCATGGGAGTTCTGTGAGCCAAGTTTGGTTCCGTTCCATCGTTGGTGGAGTCCAGAATGCTCTTTGATTGTAGGTGAACTATAAATCCCAGCAACTACAACTCCCAAATGACAAAAATCAATCCCCCAACCCCACTAGTATTCAAACTTGGGCGTATTGGATATTTCTGCCAAATTTGGTCCAGACTCCAGTGAATGAAAATACATCCTGCATATCAGATATTTACATTACAATTCATAACAGGAGCAAAATTACAGTTATGAAGTAGCAACAAAAATAATATGGTTGGGGGTCACCACAACACGAGGAGCTGTATTAAGGGGTTGCAGCATTAGGAAGATTGAGAAATGCATAAATTGGTTACCCTGAACTCTGTGCTTCTCTTGCCCCTTCCTTGCTGTAACGTCTCTTTCCCAGCCATCGTGTACCTCTCCTTGCTGCAGTTCAGCCTTTCTTCTTTTCTTCTCTTTCCGGATAGCTGGTTCCCCCATTAGAAAGCCTCTGATAGTTTAAGCTCTCTCTACTCATTATATTTCTCTCCTGCCACTCTCTCTGTCTCAGAACACACTCTCTGGCCTCTTTTGGGATCTAATTCCACCCAGGGATTCTGAAGACTATATTTTCCAAGCCTGAAAAACTATGTCTCCAAGGACTGCTGTTAAAAAGAACTCTTTAACTGCTGAATACTCATATGTTCTTCCTGGTCTCACTGCCAGGGGTTGCCTCCTAAATTGGGGCCAACAACACCAAATCGGGAGGGGTTGCCAATATTCCAGAAGACAGAAGCAGAATTAGAAAGATGGGCCAAAACTCACAAAATGAAACTCAAAAGAGGCAAATGCAAGATACTCCACTTAGGCAGAAAAAAATGAAACGCAAAGAAACAGAATGGGGGATGCCTAGCTTGAGAGCAGTATGTGTGAAAAAGATCTTGGAGTCCTTGTGGACCACAGAAGACTGGGCAACTTGGAAGATGCTGAACAGACTGCGCTCTGGCACCACTAGATGCAGAACCAGCCTTAAGAAATGGGRCTATAAAGTGGAGTCCACGACATGCGAGTGCGGAGAAGAGCAAACCACAGACCACCTACTACAATGCAGCCTGAGCCCTGCCACATGCACAATGGAGAACCTTCTTATAGCAACACCAGAGGCACTCCCAGTGGCCAGCTACTGGCCAAAGGACATTTAATATAATGCCAAATTTTTAACTTTGTTTTTTCTCAAATACATTGGTTCACKCCTGATACGATAAAAAAAATCATCAACAACAACAATACAAGAAAGAGGTTTAYTACTAAGGAGAAGATTGACTCAAGCTCTTCTCAGGAATATCATACTTTACAAAAAGGTTATGATTTTCCAAATGGTGTGAATGTCAATTAATCTCCAAAAGGTCACACTTTCAAAAGGCTATGGAGATTCTGGTTTTCCAAAAAGGTTATGATCTCAAAGGTCATCCCTTTCCCCAAACCCCCAGCAGATGGCCATCCACACTCTGCTGAAAAATCTCCCCAAAGAAGGAGACTCCACCACACTCCCAAGCAGCATGTGTTCAACAGCTCTTATCATCAGTTAGTTCTTCCTCATGTTTAGGTGGAATCTCTTTTCCTGCAATTTGAATCCATTGCTTGGTGTCCTCTGCAGCTACAGAAAACCACTTGACCCTTCCTTGATATGACACCTTTTCAAATAGTTAAACATGGCTATTATGTCTCTTCGCAACGTTCTCTTCTCCAAGCATAGCACACTGAGCTCCCTAAGACCTCTTCTACATTGCCATATAAAATCCAGATTATCTGTTTTGATAATCTGGATTATATGGCAGTGTAGAAGGGGCCAAAAATGCTCCTCATAGGGCATGGCAATCCACACTTTGGATCAGTTTAGTCTCATATACACCCTTCTCTGGACACATCTTAGCTTGTCAATATCCTTCTTGAATTGCAGTGCCCAAAACTGGACACAATATTCCAGGTGAGGCCTGACCAAAGCAGAATAGAGTGGGACTATAACTTCCCTCGATCTAGAACAGGCATCCTCAAACTGCAGCCCTCCAGCTGTTTGGGCCTTCAACTCCCAGAATTCCTGACAATTGAACAAGCTCATAAGGGCTTCTGGGAATTGGAGGCAAACAAAGTTAAAAACTTGACATTATGCTAAGTGTATGCTTTCAAGTCACCTGTTGATTTATGCCAACCTTATACATTTCAAAGGCAAGGGACCCTCGGATGTGATTTTGCCAGTTTGTTCTTCTGAAATATAGGCCACAGCACCTGGTATTCATTGGCTGTCTCCCATCCAAGTTCAACCAGGGCCTACCTTGCATAGCTTCCAAGAGTAGTTGGGATCTGATGCATCAGGGCTTCCCTCCTTTTTATTTTCATCCCTTCCCTGTTCCTTTTCCTTTGTGCAGGTAAAGATAAAGGTTTTCCCCTGACACTAAGTCCAGTTGCATCCCACTCTGGGGTGTGGTGCTCATCTCCATTTCTAAGGTGAAGGGTCGGCGTTGTCTGTAGACACCTCCAAGGTCATGTGAC